ACAGCCATACCAAGAAATGGCTTAGCCCCACCTTAACCCCACCATGAAAAATGATAAAGTAACCAAAAATAAAGTCCGCCAACTCGCGCGGAGTAAATTGCACAGACAGCAGTTAGTCAGATTGATTTCAGTAGCCACTTGTCTGGAAATACCGAAGACTAGAAACTGTTTTGAAAACTGTTGTGACGTAGTGATCGTCTTCTCAATAGAACATCTTTGATAATGTCTTCTGGCCAATCAGAATCAAGATAACGGCGTAGTGTTGTTGCAGGAAGTCCCGACGGAGAATACTTTTGCTGTAGTACATCTCTATATACATCGATACAACATTACGTGTTGATAGAAATCAACACGTAATGAAATAAGACCCCACGGTTTGATGATTGATAGATGTGTGGGCTGTCTTTCATTTTGACACACAGAACAATGGGGGCTATCCACCCTTATCCACAATGTAAAGTAATTCACAGCCTCCTCCCTCTTCTCTCTGTGAGGAGCAGCAGGTTCAGCTTTCAGAACAAAGTAACACAAAACTAAAATGGCATTCATTTTTTTTAAACATGTCGTGTAGTAATAGATTTATTTATTTCTCTTCTCAAGAGAGTACCAGAATGTGTATTTTATGTTAGTATTTAAAAAAATCTCCTGGGAGGGCATCCCCCCAGACCCGCCTGCAGAGGTTGGGTTTTCAGCATGTCAACTCTTTCACCTGTGGGGAAGTTGCAGGATTGGCTCCAGGTCGCCCTTTTTATTTACTACAAGACAAATGTGCCTTTTTATTTCATACAGTTCAATTTGGATTGAGACAGGGAAATAATCTAAACCTCACACGTGGCGTTTCACTTTCAAGGGGGGCGATATAGAGTGTATGTAATTACATCGCAAATACTGACTTGAGCCCCACCACTGTATGGGTTAGCCCTACCATAGATTACCCAACAAAAATACTCTGGAGCCGCCACTACAGAAGGCCTTTGTGTTTGGAGAGCAGTCCTCCTCCATTCTTCACCGCGACGTCCAGAGTGCGTCTGTGGAGCTCCACGAGAGACACACTGAACTCATAGCTGAGGAGGAGGAGAGGAAACATTAACAATCATCAGCTGCTAAAATACTACGTTTAAAAGCACAAGGCGCTTTCACACCGGAGTACTTTTCCCAGGAATAGTTCCTGGGATTTTGCGTTCACACCAAAAAGATCTGGTACTAGAACTTTTTTTGCGAACCTTTTCACCCCTTTTTAATCCCTGCTAGAGTGGTGGGACTTTCCCAGGGAGGAAAAGGTTCCAATTGCTGATTGGCTGGGCGAATTGCAAACCACGCCCCGTAAAACTCTGAAAAGTTTTTGTGAAGCCGCCATTTTATTTGCTGGCATTAGCATTATTAGCATTAGCATTAGCGCAGCGCTGAAACGCAGAGAGACTAACTTATGGCAACACAAAAGAAAACATGGGAGCGGTGGAGTGATGAGGAGGTGTCGGCGTTCTGGCGATTTACTCGGAAGGCTTCAGTAGAAGCTGCTGGGAGTCCGGGGACTTCGGGTGGCAGTATACGCCGTGAAGTTGTTTGCTGCCTGCCAGTAAACCCAAAGCAGAAGAAGAAGAAGTGACGTCAGCGGCTCCCTCAGGGACTTATTCCGGTGTGAACGCGATTTACTACATAGTTCCAGGAAATAAAAGTTCCGGGAACTATTCCTGGGAAAAGTACTTGGTGTGAAAGCGCCAATAGTAGGAACGGGGGAGTCGGAGGAAGAGGCGGCAGGTTGAGGGTTTGTTTTCTTGTTCTTGTTAACCTGCACTGAAGAGGGGGAGGAGGAGAGGGAGGGTTTTTGTCCAAGCACGGCACCTGAGATTAAATCAGATTCAGAATCAGTGTAGAATCTGTGTTATATAATCATGTACAATGCCTTGTCTTTTTAGGCTGCTGCAACGCAAACATTTCCCAAATTGGTATCAATAAAGTACTTCTTATCTTATCTTACCCTCAGAGCCATCTTCCTCTTCAGTGTGCAGCTCGGGCCGGAGTTCTTGAGGGGGAAACGCTGATTTAACGTAATTTCATCGGCCTCCAGAAGGCGAGTCAGCGGCACCATCAAAATGCCCAACGTACACTCGTGTTTCTCGTCTTTCACCTGACAACGTCATTGTTTTTGTCTTGAGTGTCTCGCCTTTACTGCGAATAATGTTTAGACTAGAGCAGCAAAGAAAATATTCAAAAAGACTCACAGAGACTTTTTGTAGACAGTTTGCAGAATCAAACCATTACATTTTAGCATTTTTGATTACATCTTTATGAATAAGTACAACTGTTTCCTGCTCTCTCTCGCTCTATATAAAGTGAGGGTTTGAGATAATTTAATCTTTAATATGGACACAGAGATTGACATCTTCTTTGTTCACTGAATCGTCAAAATTAAGATCCAGAGTCTCTCCACAGACTGTCTCGCCTCTACTGCTCATAAAGTTTGGACTAGAGCAGCAAAGAAAATATTTTAAAACGACAAATTGAGCGTCCGTACCTCGACCTCCAGCTCCTGGCTGCGGGGGTTATGGACAGGAAGGTGAACGCCTCCTCCCACACCGGCTCATTGGTCTTATATCGGGTCTGAAGGAGGAAACAACAACAGAGAGGAGGTAGAGGGATATGTATAATATTTTTCTAGTTCTCTACCTGTGTTTTTAATTCTTGTTGTTATGCACCATGACACCAAGTCAAATTCCTCGGAGGCTACGTGTAAACCTACCTGGTAATAAACCTGTTTCTGATTCTGATTAACTACTACAACTAATGGTGAGCTGAAATATTGTACGTTTATCGAAACTAAAACTATTATTTAGAAACCAGATCATTAATTTCTCTAAGGTACAATGCCATGTATTTTTATGCTGCTGCAACGCAAACATTTCCCAACATTAGTATCAATAAAGTCCTTCTTATCTTGTCGTATCTTTATCTCTGAATATTCTGTTGTGCAAATAGTCTTCAAGTGATAGTCTTTTCACATTAAAAGCACCGTCCAATTACAAACATTGCACCAGTTTTTACATATCTATCAATATGTTGACATACATACAGTGTATTCTGTGTTAACCACCATGCACTCTAACATTACTGTGCATACATATCTATATATGCAAAGCACCACCTGTTCATGTTTTTATGAACCACACTCTGTGATTATGGCGCTGTTTATATTGAATATGCAGCTTTTGTTATGATTGCATCATAGACTTTTATATGCAGTCGCTGTACTTTTCTTTCCACTCTTTATTGCAAATTCTGCAAGGCGAGTTCTCCAGAAAAACTCTCATCTTATATCCCTATAATTCAGCAATTTGTGAGATAAATTGCTGGGGGGGTTTAAGTAAGTTGTAGTGGTTTATAAGAAGAGGTAAACCGTGCATAAAAAGGTAAGTTTGTCGCAAAAGTAAAACATATCACTGATATAAAATAATCTCTTCATACTTAGGGTACATTTGGTACAAACTCATGCTTAGCAGCCACAAATTAGTCATATTTACGAGATAATAAGGTGAAATGTGAACAATTTAAGATGTAGTTTTGGATTTTAAAAGGGTAAAAGCACTGGGGATGTATTTTAAATAAACCGGAATTACCCTGGTAACATCATTAGGAGAGGACTCTTTAAAGTAGAGACACTACATACTGATATACACCTGAACATCAGCAGGAGAGGACTCTTTAAAGTAGAGACACTACATACTGATATACACCTGAACATCAGCAGGAGAGGACTCTTTAAAGCAGAGACACTACATACTGATATACACCTGAACATCAGCAGGAGAGGACTCTTTAAAGTAGAGACACTACATACTGATAAACACCTGAACATCAGCAGGAGAGGACTCTTTAAAGTAGAGACACTACATACTGATATACACCTGAACATCAGCAGGAGAGGACTCTTTAAAGTAGGGACACTATATACTGATATACACCTGCACATCAGCAGGAGAGGACTCTTTAAAGTAGACACTACATACTGATATACACCAGAACATCAGCAGGAGAGGACTCTTTAAAGTAGAGACACTACATACTGATATACACCTGAACATCAGCAGGAGAGGACTCTTTAAAGTAGAGACACTACATACTGATATACACCTGAATATCAGCAAGAGAGGACTCTTTAAAGTAGAGACACTACATACTGATATACACCTGAACATCAGCAGGAGAGGACTCTTTAAAGTAGATACACTACATACTGAAATACACCTGCACACCAGCAGGAGAGGACTCTTTAAAGTAGACACTACATACTGATATACACCTGGACATCAGCAGGAGAGGACTCTTTAAAGTAGAGACACTACATACTGATATACACCTGAACATCAGCAGGAGAGGACTCTTTAAAGTAGAGACACTACATACTGATATACACCTGAACATCAGCAGGAGAGGACTCTTTAAAGTAGAGACACGACATACTGATATACACCTGAACATCAGCAGGAGAGGACTCTTTAAAGTAGACACTACATACTGATATACACATTCATTTATAATTGTTTTCTTAATCCTAAAAATAAATTAAAAAAACAACACTGAGATGTTTTCCTCTTAGCTCTTTTATTAACAAGAAAAACCCCAACATTTTATTTTTTACAGACATGTAAATGTGGCACTCGTCTCACGTCTTGAAAATAGAAACACCATTTATTACAAACTCAACCTGTTAGCTTTTCTTTTAATGTGTGTTATTTCCTTCTTCAAAATGTCCTTTATGCATTCAACACATTGAGACTTAGTAACAAACATTAACAGCAAAAACAAAAACAAAAGACATTTCTAATAAAATATCTTCAATGAAAGAAGCTCTGGTGCTTTCTCTCTCTGGTGCTTTACAAGAGAAACACCAACACACAAATAAATCAATATCGATATTCAACACAAATTTAGAGCAAAGTTTACATTTACTCATGAAAAGATGTTAAAGCACATCCCATAATGTTTGATTGACAGCTGATCTCTGTGCAGTGAAGACATGAACAATCAGCTCTCAGCAACAATGATGGACACGAAGTAGAGAAGAGTTCCTCAAATGTCTTCAGGCTATTTCAGTTTACACAACTCAGCTGCGTCTCCATCATCACAAACCCAAACTCCAGCATGTAGCGGCTGAGTGAATGTGGTCTGGACTCTTTGGAGGAGAGTCATGGTTTGAGAGACGCTGTAGAAGGACAGAATACCTGCTCTGTGATCCAAGTACACTCCTACTCTGGAGGACTGAGGACCTGAGACGGTAGTTTCGATATTGTTGTAACAAAATGAATATCTGTTTTGTTTACAATCTAACGCCCAGGATTTGTCATTGAATCCAAATCTACACCCATCCCCTTCTCTGCGGATATTCTTGTATGAGACTGCTACACAAACTCTTCCCCCTCTCCGCTCCACCTCCCAGTAACAACGTCCAGTCAGACTCCCTCTACTCAGGACCTGAGGCCATTCAGTGAATCTGTCTGGGTGACTAGAATAAGACTGTTGTTGTTTCATGAGTCTTGCTTTTCTGCTCCCCTCAGATATTAACAGAAATGCATATGCTGTGTTTGGATCCAGAGTGATCTCCTGTGAATATGTTAAGAACCCAGCTCTGGTGGTGGGTTCTGCTGCTGGCAGTAAAACATCCACTTCAGTCGATGAGACGTTTGTCCATTCCTCTCTCAGGACGTCCTGTAGTTTGTCTCTGACTGCTGACAGGGCCGCCGTCAAGTCCTCAAAGTAGCTCAGAGGACGGATGTTGATGCTGGAGGAGTGTGTAGCTTCACTGAGGGCTGGCAGTGAGGGGTAGCTGTGCAGAAACTGGTTGTGATCCTCTGTGTGAGACAGCAGCTTCAGCTCAGCCATCTCCTGCTCCAGCTTCTTCTGAAGCTCTTTGACTCGACTCACTACTCTCTTCTGCTGGGATCTGACCTGCTGCTTCACATCAGAGCTTCTCTTCTCCATGAGACGGATCAGCTCAGTGAACATCTTCTCACTGTCCTCCACTGCTTTATCAGCAGAGCCATTGACGGCCTTCACCTCCTGCTGAAGCAGCTTCACCTCCTTCTCTCCGTCCTGGATTCTCTGCTGGATGTTTAGTCGACTCCCCTCCAGCTCTCTCTGCCTCTCAGTCCTCTCTGCTGCAGCTGACACTGTGTCGTGGCCTTTGTGTTCGTCCACAGAGCAGAGATAACAGATACTCTGCTGATCAGTGCGGCAGAACAGCTTCATCACCTCGCCGTGACGAGAGCAGATGTTCTCCTGGAGCTTCTTGGAGGGCTCCACCAGCTTGTGTTTTTTAAACGTAGCTGCGTCAAAGTGAGGCTGGAGGTGTTTGTCACAATAAGAGGCCAGACACTGCAGACAGGACTTACAGGCTCTCAGTTTTCTCCCAGTGCAGACATCACAGGCCACATCTTCAGCTCCAGCATAGCAGTGATCAGCAGGAGCAGCTTGGAGTCCAGTCTTCTTCAGCTTCTCCACTAAAGCTGCTAACATGGTGTTCTTCAGCAGGACAGGCCTCGGTGTGAAGCTATTTCTACACTGAGGGCAGCTGTAGACTTCCTTCTCATCCTCTCCATCCCAGTGGGTTTTAATACAGTCCATGCAGTAGTTGTGTCCACAGGAAGTAGTCACCGGATCCTTTAGTAGATCCAGACAGATCGAACAAGAGAAGGTTTCTCGGTCCAACTGAACTCCTTTCTGCGCCATTTCACCTCTCAGTGACAGCGAGTGTCTGAGTTTTACTTCCTGAGAGCTGAAACTAGTGTGAGTGTGATCTGAATAGCATGTGTGTGTGCAGTGAATCACTCGTTACACCCATCCTGCAGCTGCAGCTCTACAGGGGAGGGAACCAGGAAGTATGACGCAATTCATAAGGGGGAGCGTTGTTAAAGAGACAGTACGTTCCAAAGTCCACTCTCTGCCTCCTTCAGTAAATGTGAGAGTTCAGTATCAGGCTGATCCAACTGTGAAAACACAAGGTGCTTTGAAGGCTGACTTAATGAGCGATTTATTTTCTAAATATATGGAGAGGCGAAGTCCCTCCCCTTCCGAAAGCCTCCATGGGACCCCGGAAGCGGAAAATTATACATTGAAGTCAATGGAGAGAGAAAGGTTATCTTTTGATCCCGTTTGAATTGTGCCACGAATGACACATATGATGTTTGTCAATTTAAAAGAACATTTTGCAAGTCAAAAAAATAAAAACGTGTCGTAAAACTGTGAAGTTACACATTTTTTCGTGTGAAACCGCTCAGTGAACTACAGGTCTCTGGTCTCGCATAATACGCGTCACCAACATAAAGATGGCCGTCACGTTAGCACATTTCACCACATTCTTTCAGAATGAGAATAAAAGTATTTTACGAGGTGAAAATCACTACAAGTCTAGGCACGTTGAGAGCTGTACCTATATGAAAGGGGAGTTAGTCGGTTCTGTAAGAGCCAGCATGCGGGACCGGCTTTACAAGGTTTCGGTGAGTAATATGAGTGCAATGTGTAACGTTAATGTCAGCTAGCTAACATTAGCTAACAAGGTACACTAACGTGTTTTGTTTTAGCAACTAGTTTTCTCCTTAAGAACTTCGTGGTCTCTGTGTATGCTGTGGATAACATTAGTGTTCACAAGAACAAGGTACACTCCCGTGTTTTGTTTTAGTTGCTCTTCAGATTGAAGCGGCCAGTTTTATATTGGCTATACTGTATGTGTGATCTCCTTTTTCTCGTTGTGTCATTTGACTTTATTTGCTGTGTGTAGATTCAAGGATTTTGGTTATCTAGGCACAGCTGTGTGTGACTCCCTCTGGTACACTGGTATGTGTTTTCCTAATGTAGAGAGCATTGATTAATTAATAAACTACACACTGAGTCTAGATCCTGACCAAATCCTTTTTTTATTGTTGATCAAATGTTTTTAAAAAATGTATTCATACACATTTAGAAAAATACAATGTACAATCACAACCAATACAACACAAATTACAAACAATACAGAAAAAACAAACAATAACAACAGACAAGAGGACAAAACTATGGAAAAATAAACCCTCCCACCCCCAGATCCGGACCATCCTTGTATTATTGCTCATTCAATCTATTATAGCATGCTAACAAATGGTACTTACTTTATTTTTACAGATCTGCATGGGAGACGATGGCACGATGCAGAGCGCTGTCTGTGATTGTGCACAGGAGATGTACAAATGCAGCCACGCTGCAGCATTGGCAATATTTGCCATGTGGCAGATCAGCTCCACAGATGTTGAGTGCCAGTGGAGGAAGCCTGGCACTTCCAAAGTAGTCCTGCCGGTGTCTCAACTTTACCAACAGCGAGAGGAGCATACAACCCACTGGCCAGAGACATCGCCAACTGTCAACTGGGGGGTTGTAAACGAGGCCGAAGGGGTGAAGGCTTTTGTGGAGGCCTATCAAGTGACAGTGTTAGAATCGAGTCTGGTCTCTTTGTGAGTGAGTCGGGTGTTTTGGGAGCATCACCCGATGGACTTGTGCAGCCATCTGCCCTGCTGGAGGTGAAGTGTCCACACAGCCAGAGGAACATGACCATCGCGGAGGCAGTCCAGTTACCATCCTTCTGTCTCCGTGAGGAGGGTGGGTCATATATTCTCAAGGAGAATCACCCATACTGGCACCAGGTCCAAGGGCAGCTGCACATCACAGACCGGAGTCTCTGCTACTTTGTTGTGTGGACCACGAAGGAGGCGATCATCATCCCCATCCCCAAAGACCCTGCATGGCATGGAAATCTCCTCCTCCTGGAACAATTCTACACCCAGCATATGCTCCTTGTGTTGGCCAGTAGAGAGGAGGACATTTAAATAAACATACTCTTAACACCCTCGGACTCTGCGTTGTGTTTCGTATGTGTGATGGGGTGTTATGCAGAGGAGAGGAAAACAGGACACAGCAGATTGGGATTGTGGTGGAGATGCTGAGCAGTTATTTAATTGTTGCATGTAATTATTATTATTATTCTGCGTGCTTCTGAGTTATTCCATCTTTTGCTGTAACATAGATCTGTATGTAACTCTATATTTACTTGTTATCTACCACACTTCCTTCTACATCATACACCATCATTATACATGATGGTGTATATAGGATATATATATTTGTATACATATCTGTAAATTGTATAATTTTATTTAAACGTCTTTTTGATCTCTCAAACTGAGTAAGATTGACAATAAAGTTGACTTTGAAAAATATATATATTCTTTATGAAAATAGTTGACTGTTGTCAAATGAATCCAAATGAAACGTTGGACTGAACTACAACTACGCCTTTAAATCTCTACGGACTGTTTTTCAGTGGGATGGCAAGTTCCTATCTTTAAACATTTATTAGTTTTTTCTCAGAACAGATTTGATTTTCTGAAGTTAATTTAACTTTGCTGACCATGTAAGGTCATCATTAAAAGGTACAATGAATTTGTTTAGGGTTGACTAAAATAATGAAAAACATTCATTTGGATAATTTACTGACAGAATAAGAAACTCAATGATGCTTTACTCACCTGTTCCCTTTTTATAAAGTGAAACAGTTGAAACGATAGATTTTAGTAAACTTAAAAACAACCTTCTCCAAAAGCTATCAAGGAATATACCGAATACTTGTTTTAGAACTTTATTACATATTTTTATATTAATAGTTTGAATGATCCATAATTGACAGAAGCTTGTGTTTACACTGACCTGTTACTCATATATTAATGTCTTTGTAACTTCAGTAAACCACTACCTCACTCATTTCACTTTCATTCATCACGGTTCAGTAAACTAAGTGATACATGAACCAGTTTAATCATTATAATAACGTAGGATTGCAACTCTTTGAAAATGTAGGTGGCTCTTAAAAGAGCCGTTGTGTTTGGGTGTGCTGGTCTCAGGTCAGTCTAAGCCCTCTCTCCGCGGATGCGGCGGGCCAGCTGGATGTCCTTGGGCATGATGGTGACCCTCTTTGCTTGGTTCATCTTACTGGGGGGCAGCTACATGGATGTCGGTGCAGTCCACAATCATTGCGCAGTTGAAGGCAGAATTAATTTATTATTGACTCCGAATGAAGCACAACTTCATGTCATACAATACAATGACTTTATTTGTAATTGTGTAAAAACATATGAGCATTGATTAGCAAGCAGGACCTGCAGGAACAGAGAATGGTGATGGATGGAGCTGGGAAGAGAGAAGAATAAAGAAAACAGATCAACTTTATTATCGGATATTAAAAATTCAATTTCAAAACAAGTTGCCGCTCCTACAGTTTTCTAGTATGTAAAGATGATTTCACATGACCTATGCAAAATATCACACTCAATACATGTGTGTCTCTGGGGGGTGCATTGTGCCTTTGATGTATATAAATAATATACCACAACCAAATACTATTACGTACAGTGGAAATCAGGTTGCCAGAGCAGGTCAGTGTGCATGTTCCTCAACGTCTCAGCAGTTACAGGTGAGGTAAAGAAAATAAAAGAGAAAAAGGTCAGTAACAACACTTTAAAGTAACAACACTTTGAATAATTATCTCTTCTAACAATTTTCTCTCAATAAGCACACAACGACTGTCTTTCCAACAAACAGATTGTCATCACAATGAAACACGTCCAGAAGAACGTCATGCAAAGCTCCCTGCCTGCCTTCGACTCTCCCTGAACTGCTTCCTTAGCACCCGGTGGAGGGCGCAGTAGGCTACTCTTCAAAAGTTTCACGAAATACTTACCATCATGTTTGGTTACTGTTTAACATTTTGGTTTACTTCATGTAATAAAATAATAACTTCATGGTAAGGCTACTAAAAATGACAAGGCTAAGTAATGTAATGCTAACTAACGTGCTCGCTACTCGTCGCTTCTAGCTAGGTAGCTAACTTGACTATGTTCCATGCACAACATGTATATTATGATATTACCTGATATGTCTGATCCAGCGACTCCTGGTCCTTTCATCAGACGGGAAGCGATAGAAGGAGCAAGTGGTATGATCACTTTTATGACTACAACCTGGTACAAAGCACACAGGCATCTTGTAAAGTGAATTTATTTTTTAGCGATCTATAATTTATTGGAGGGAATAAATCAGTTATGAGATCTTCTTCTTCTTCGCTTTAATTACGAGTCTTATTATAAATCACCGAGCATGCCTGTGACATCACTTACGCGACCCAGAATGGGATTTGGGATTTGTAGTCTTTGTAGTAGCGTATTTTTCATAGTCTTATATTTGAGCAGTTTTACGACAAAATGTGACTTTTTTGACATGGAAATGATTGTTTAAGACTGACAAACATCATATGTGTAGTTCGTGGCACAATTCAAACGGGATAAAAAGATACGTGTTCTCTCTCCATTGAATTCAATGTACATTTTTCACTTCCGGGGTCCCATGGTCCGGAAGTAGATGGGCGTGACTTCGCCTCTCCATACCGTTGTATCTTATCTTTCCAGTCAGGCTGTTTTGATATAAGCAGAGTTGGAAAGTACATTTACTCAAGTATTGTAACTCGGTAGTTTATCGACATATTTATACTTTGAGTATTTCCATTTAATGCTACTTTATACTTATAGTCCACAACATTTCAGAAGCAGATATGTACTATTTTTCCTCGAGTACATTTATTTTACTTTGTGCATAAACACATGACATGATGATAGGGTATCAGGAAATACTTTACTACTAATCCACACAGTTTGCAAATGTTGTCCAACTTGACCAAAGACTAAATGTTTTGACATGTATAAATAATTGGATAATATAATAACTATCATGTGTCTGTATTGTGTATATGTACTGTAGTATATATAATGTTATGCAACTGTCTG